GAGTGTTGCTGGGCTGGTGGAGTGGCTCAAGTAGTAAGAGTGCCTGCCTAGCAGTCCCCAGTACTACCAAAAAAAGTACTGCTGTAGACTGGGGTGTGGCTCAGGTGGTAGAGTGCCTGCCTTTAGCAAGCTTTGAGGCCCTGAGTATACCCCAGGACTGCCAAAAACTAAGAATATTGCTGTCAGTCAGTGCAGTCACTATAAATTAATTCCAATTGATAGGAAATCACTTCTGAGCATTTTTATATTACAAAATTAGTTTAAGACTTCCTTTGATAAACATTTCTGTTTTGGTGCTGGATATTGAACCCAGGACCTCATACATGCTAACTAAGAACATGTTCTACCACTGAGCTATTATACCACAAGCAAATTCCACATTTTTTTGGTCGTATGCTATATGTTTTTTTTCTCCCTAGTTTCTCTTTTGTCTTTCAAAGTGGTTTCTGGTCTTGGTGTTATTCTTTAAGAAAGGCTTTTTCTTCTAGGGGCTTTGTGCCTAAATTTAATTTTATTGCAACTATAGTTGACTTTTTCCCTGACACAGTGGTGCTTTTTAAAAAGTTTTAAAAACATTTTAAATATACACCTTTTTTTTTTTTTTTTTTCTAGTGAGACAGAAGTTTGAAATCAGGGCTTTATGCTTGCAAAGCAGGTGCTCACAAAGTAGGTGCCCTACTGCTTGAGCCACACCTCCAGTCCATTTTTCTCTGGTTTGGCAATGGAATCTTGCGAACTATCTGCCCAGACTGGCCTTGAACCACTGTCCTTCCAGTCTCATCCTCTTAACGAGCTAGGATTACAGGCATGAGCCACCGGCACTCAGCTTAACATACACTTTTAAAAATTATGACATTATCATCAACTTTTGAATATTTTGCAGGTGTTGGAGGGTGGCTGCTTGGTCAAGAAGAATTTAGTACACCAGAGTAGGCATGTGTCATTTGACCAGCAAGAAGTGATGCCGGTCTTCATATGTAGATACTATTTGAATGCTTTTAGTGTGTTATTAAAATAGGTTTCACTTAGAAAAGAATGAGATGAAATTGGCCTAGACTGAATTAGCTTATCTCTCATGGTTGTTATTTAAGGCTCTGAAGCAAGGATTTTCCCAAAAATATATCTGGCCTCTTACAGTCTGTACTGTGGCCTGTAGGACAAAGCCTTGGGGAGCCAAATACTTAATTTCAGATCTTCAGAAATACCATTTTTGTGCCAGGCAGAAGGATCGTGAGTTTGAGGCCAGCCTGGGCTACATAGCATGTAGCCCAGAACAGACCAAAACAGACCATTTTTTTTCTCGAGGGGATTAGGGCAGGAGCAGTGCTCAAATGGTAGAGTGCCTGTTAAGGAAGCATGAGGGCCTGAGGTCAATCCCCCAGTACCACCAATAAAAAAGATCATTAAAATTTTCTCTGATTTTGTTCTCTTTTGTACAGTATATATAATTTGCTCTGCCGGTCATACCTGAGATATGACAGCCTCCTAAAGCCTCTGCCACCTAAAATTCTTACTATAGAGTTATTACTGGGTTAGATCACAAAGCCGAGACATAGAACAAATTTTAGAGCAGTGACCCTCTCTTGTAGAACAGATTAATTTAGTTTCTTTAATTGAATCTTAGTACTTTAAAGGAGTGAGAGTCTCAGGACCATATAACTTTGAGGTAGAAAACTAGAAGTCTTTTTTCCTCTGTGATTAGTCTTGGACCACACCAGAACAGAAAGGCAAGACTACAAGCGATAGAGTTTTGAAAGTTTTTTGGGGAGGTTTTGTTTTGTTTTATCTGTGTACTTGTGATAAGGTTTTATTATTAACTGTATTGGTTATTCCATATGCCAAGGAGAAAATTGTGGGGACTTTCCTTAGTAAATCCATACTTTTAGGAGCATAGCACTTCTAAATTAGGAGAACTAGTGTTTTGTTAAGCATTTAATTTTGACTAAAGGGAATACTGAATTTATGTTAAGGGTTGTTGGGGATAGGTGAGAAAAGAGAAGGTACAGAGGGCAAACCAGAAGTGCCCATTTTCATTTACATGCAGGAAATGCAGTCCTAAACATTTTCTGTACTCTTTACAGAAATTTTTCTGAAATGGTGTTTCCCCAGTTTGCAGAGTGAGAGAAAACAAAGGGTCAGGTAGTAAATTTGCATTATTTTGTCCAGGCTAACAACCCCAGTAAATGGCAGTTCTGGGATTTTTTTTTTTTTTGCGTTAATGGGTCCATTTTTCCGATACTTTGAATCAAATTAAGCCCCAAATTGTCTTACTTTGGATTTAGACTTAATTTCTCCCTATAATTTTGGGACTCTTACTGAATAGCTATGGGTAAGTACATACAGAAGTAGGAGAAAATGAAATTTACCTGCTTAGTTTGGTTTAGACTTTCTTTTTCTTAATTTTTATTTTATTCATATGTGCATACAATGTTTGGGTCATTTCTCCCCCCTTCCCCACCTCTTCCCTTATCCCCCCACCCCCTTTCTCTCCCCCCACTCCCCCTCACTACCTGGCAGAAACTACTTTGCCCTTATCTCTAATTTTGTTGAAGAGAGTATAAGCAATAACAGGAAGGACCAAGGGGTTTTTGCTAGTTTAGATAAGGATAGCTATACAGGGGAGTTGACTCCCATTGACTTCCTGTGCATGTGTGTTACCTTTTAAGTTAATTCTTCTTGAACTAACCTTTTCTCTAGTTCCTGGTCCCCTTCTCCTATTGGCCTCAGTTGCTTTAAAGTATCTACTTTAGTTTCTCTGCGTTGAGGGCAACAAATGTTATCTAGTTTTTTAGGTGTCTTACCTATCCTCATACCTCCCTGTGTGCTCTCGCTTTATCATGTAATCAAAGTCCAATCCCCTTGTTGTGTTTGCCCTTGATCTAATGTCCACATATGAGTGAAAACATACGATTTTTGGTCTTTTGGGCCAGGCTAACCTCACTCAGAATGATGTTCTCCAGTTCCATCCATTTACCAGCGAATGATACCATTTTGTTCTTCTTCATGGCTGCATAAAATTCCATTGTGTATAAATACCACATTTTCTTAATCCATTCGTCAGTAGTGGGGCATCTTGGCTGTTTCCATAACTTGGCTATTGTGAATAGTGCCGCAATAAACATGGGTGTGCAGGTGGCTCTGGAGTAACCTGTGTCACAGTCTTTTGGGTATATCCCCAAGAGTGGTATTGCTGGATCAAATGGTAGATCAATGTTTAGCTTTTTAAGTAGCCTTCAAATTTTTTTCCAGAGTGGTTGTACTAGTTTGCATTCCCACCAGCAGTGTAGGAGGGTTCCTTTTTCCCCGCATCCTCGCCAACACCTGTTATTGGTGGTGGTGCTAATGATGGCTATTCTAACAGGGTGAGGTGGAATCTTAGTGTGGTTTTAATTTGCATTTCCTTTATTGCTAGAGATGGTGAGCATTTTTTCATGTGTTTTTTGGCCATTTGAATTTCTTCTTTTGAGAAAGTTCTGTTTAGTTCACTTGCCCATTTCTTTATTGGTTCATTAATTTTGGGAGAACTTAGTTTTTTAAGTTCCCTATATATTCTGGTTATCAGTCCTTTGTCTGATGTGTAGCTGGCAAATATTTTCTCCCACTCTGTGGGTGTTCTCTTCAGTTTAGAGACCATTTCTTTTGTTGAGCAGAAGCTTTTTAGTTTTATGAAGTCCCATTTATCTAATGCTATCTCTTAGTTGCTGTGCTGCTGGGGTTCCATTGAGAAAGTTCTTGCCTATACCTATTAATTCCAGAGTATTTCCTACTCTTTCCTGTACCAACTTTATTTAGTGTGGTCTGATATTAAGATCTTTGATCCATTTTGAGTTAATATTGGTATAGGGTGATATACATGGATCTAGTTTCAGTTTTTTGCAGACTGCTAACCAGTTTTCCCAGCAGTTTTTGGTGAAGAGGCTGTCTTTTCTCCATCGTACATTTTTAGCGCCTTTGTCAAAGACAAGTTGGTTATAGTTGTGTGGCTTCATATCTGGGTTCCTCTATTCTGTTCCACTGGTCTTCATGTCTGTTTTTGTGCCAGTACCATGCTGTTTTTATTGCTATTGCTTTGTAATATAGTTTGAGGTCAGGTATTGTGATACCTCCTGCATTGTTCTTTTGACTGAGTATTGCCTTGGCTATTCATGGCCTCTTGTGTTTCCATATAAATTTAATGATAGATTTTTCAATCTCTTTAATGAATGTCATTGGAATTTTGATGGGAATTGAATTAAACATGTATATTACTTTTGGGAGTATGGACATTTTTACTATGTTGATTCTAGCAATCCATGAGCATGGGAGATCTCTCCACTTTCTATAGTCTTTCTCAGTCTCTTTCTTCATAAGTTTATAGTTTTCCTTGTAGGGGTCGTTACATCCTTTGTTAGGTTTACTAGGTATTTGATTTTTTTTGAGGCTATTGTAAATGGAATTGTTTTCATATATTCTTTCTCAGTTTGTTCATTATTAGTGTATAGAAATGCTAATGATTTTTCTATGTTGATTTTATATCCTGCTACCTTGCTATAGCTATTGATGGTGTCTAGGAGCTTTTGAGTAGAGTTTTTTGGGTCTTTAAGGTATAGGATCATGTCATCTGCAAATAGGGATATTTTGACAGTTTGAATACTGGTCTTTTTTCAATTTTTTTTTTTTTTTCAGACTGGAGTTTGAACTCAGGGCCTACACTGCTACACCAGTCTTTTTAAATCAAAACTCATGCATATTCTTTTCATAAGAATTTAGGTAGGAACTGGAGTGGTGGAACACCTGCCTAGCAAGTGTGAGGCCCTGAGTTCAAACCCCAGTACCACATACAAAACAAAACAGAACAAAAAAAACAAACTCAACAAAAAAATATAGATGGTCTCCTAAACCATTGGAGTTGTTAATATGTATTTTATATTTTGTTGGTATCCTATCAAGTTTTGGTATCACTTTAACTGGCATGTCTTGGGGAAGTCAGTCTGTGTGTTTTCCTTTACCTTCCACCTTAGCATTGAGAGTAAGCATGAGGTTACGATCCTGGGAGGACTCAATGAATTTGTAGTGAAGTTTTATGGACCACAAGGAAGTAAGTACATGTGTTAGTATGTGTTCTTCTATTATAGTCTTTTACTCTATTTCTTAATAGACAGTGGGAATATCAGAGTCAGGTGGTGGCACGCATAGCCTTTGAAAAGCAGGTTCAATTGGACTCTAGAACCAGTGAGTGAGGAAACATGTATTTTTCTCTCATGAGTTGTAAATTCTGTGGTTTGTTACGGATGGCCACATGGGTAGTTTGAGAAGGGCATTGTCTTATTTTGATAGGGGAAATAGGAACAAGGCTGTTACTTACCAAGTAATTGAATAACATTTAATAGAACCAAGTAAATTTGAAGGAGAGAATGAATCTTCTAACTCTGGTTTTTTTAAAAAGTATGTTTATCTGAACATGGAAGACTTATTGATTGTATTTTCTAATTTGGAGACATGGTTCTAATGTTTAACATTTTTTACTTTTATTCCAGCACCATATGAAGGTGGAGTATGGAAAGTTAGAGTGGACCTTCCTGATAAATACCCTTTCAAATCTCCATCTATAGGTATGTAACTACTTGGCTTCTTTCCCTAGAGAGTTTTGAAATCTAGGAGGAAAAAAAAATCATGAATTTTACAGGAAATAATTCCAGAAATTTTTACCTAATTGAAGTTTTCCCCTTTTGGTTAATAGTGACCTTTTTTAGGGAAGGGAGGCATTTCCATAGTATGATAGCTGACGTTTGAATACACCCTTCGCAGGATTATAATGACCATTACTGGAGATTTTTTTCTTTTGGTGTCAGGCACTAGGATTTGAACTCAGAGCCACACATTTGTTAGGCGTGTGCTTTACCACTTGAGCCACTCCACCAGCCTAAACTAACAACTTTAAGGGCCACTGTCCATTCAGGCTGTTAAAAGTAACAAATAAATACGTTTTCATTATCATTTTGAATACCAGATTGTTGGAATGAATATTACACATTCTAATTTTGTCATTTAAAAATTCAGCCTAGATTTTACTTTGCTCTGATTTACTTTACCTCGGGTAACTAGCAACGAAATGACCCTTTTCTATTCTGCCCACCCACTATCTTTTTAGCCTTCTAAGCAGAAGACAGAAAAATAGTAACTTCTATTTTTCTATGGGTTGTACAAGAGATGTTTTTTCTATGCCTTCATCTTCCCTCCTGCTAATTGATGATAATCACCCTTAGTGCCTTAAGGCACTAAGTGATAACATAGGTATTTTAGTTTCAGATGCTGTAAAGGTGCATTAGATTGAAGGTTGACACCTTCAAATATTTTGAGATTGTAGAATGGTAGCAATTTAACTTAAATCAACTTTTTAAACTCTGTATTGTATATAGAGTTAAAAAAATACTATAAAACATCAACCAGTGGTTGGTAAATAAGTGCAATAAAACTGAAATATATTGAATATTCTCTGGTGGTCAGACCACACCTCATGATGAGAATTACCAGCATTCACACATCTTGCAGCTGCTGCAGAATGTTCAGAACTAATGCCAGATCTCCTGGAGTTTAAACCAATCCCCACTCCCAACAAAAGTGTCCTTTTTTTTTTTTCATTTTTCTTTTATTATTCATATGTGCATACAAGGCTTGGTTCATTTCTCCCCCCTGCCCCCACCCCCAAAAGTGTCCTTTTAAAAAAAGATGAACCGAAAACATCCTACGGATTTCCGTTGATTCTAGGCTCCTACATTTCTGATTAGGCCAATCAGTGCAGAAGAATGAGTATGATCACAGAAGTAAGATCCATAAAAAGTAGCACCCTTTCTTCAACATCTAGCTACTTGATATGATGTAGAGTTTTATGCTCTAAAAATACTACAGAGCATCTATAATTTTGGGTGCTAAAAGCGTGTGCTTTTTCAGTTGACTGGTCATTTCCTTTAGATCCTTAGATAAGTTTTCTAAACCTAGCAATCAAGAAGATACTTTATGGATAAATGAATCAGAAATTTCGTTATTACTACAGGGGCCTCTAAGTTGTAGAGTTAGAGATGCTGAAGTGGAATGGGAGCTGTGAGGTGTTGAGTCTGAGATAACCCTCCTGCACACCTGACTTAATAACTACATGGTTGGAAACTGCAGCTTTTTGGCTCCATTCCATGGTAACAGTAGGAGCCACTCAGGTTAAGAAGGCTTTTCAGGCATATTGTGGGTCTTTCCTTGGCTTATTAATCTCCTAGCTTTAGTGTTTCTGTCTGTTCATCCATTTTAAGCTTTCAAACATATCTCATAAATATCTGTTTACGCAGAGACTAAAAGTTGACATTTTGAATCTCGTTTTGTTGTCCCGTATTTCTAGTCGAAGAGGAAGCAATAGAGTTTATTGAAACTGCCAGCAGCCTATGAAAATATAGTTGCATATCAATATTGTTTCATTATGGCTTTCTAAGTAAATATACCTCAACTTTATCCAAGAACACCTCTCTAGTGCTGGGGTTGAACCCAGGACTTTGGGCACACTGGGCAAGTACTCTACCAGTGAGCTATGCCCCCCTCATACACCTAAAATACTGAAACTTAAGACTGTTTATTTACTAACCATTGACACTAAGAAACCTGTGCCCTTTTCCAAGTTAATGATGCAGTATGAAATGATTGGTACAAATGACCAGGCTAATTTAACTTCTTCAGAAGTTTTCCTTTGCCTTCGGAACTTGATAGTATCTACAAATGTGTGTCATCTTTTCTTAAGGAAGTAGATATAGTTGAAATATTTGAACAAGTTGTCCTTGTTTCCTCCAAAGGAAGATTGCATAAGACTTTTAGTCAGTTGTGTGGGGTGACCCATTTTCAGGTCATCAACAATGTAATTACTGTTGATGTACTCTCAGCATTTCGAGAGGCAGTGGCTCATCTAGAAAAGGCATGGTTTCCTTTTTGACTTGTATAGATGTAAAATTACACAGAAGGGAAAAGAAATAAGATAAACTTCAACATTGTTTTAAACTTTGTTCCCATTTTATCTGGGCAGGTGTACCATTCTTCCTGAGCCAAATTTGAAGCTCTTGAATATTAAGGTGTGGGGATGTGGGTATAGCTCAATGGTAGAACACTTGCCCAGCATGTATGAGGCCTTGGGTTTGATCCTCAGCTCTGCCCAAAAATAAATAAATAAATAAATAAATAAATAAATAAATAAATAAATAAATACATACATACATACATACATACATACATACATACATACTTCTTTAATGCTACGCATTGGAGTTTTGTGTTTATCTGAGTCAGGTCTCAGAATATAACCCAGCCCTGCAGTGAATTCTTGGTCTTCTCCCAAGTTCTGGGATTATAGGCATGCACCATGGTACCTGGCTTAGAATTTTAAAACATGTATATGTGCATACTTTCTTGTTTGATTTTTATGTGTGTATATAGATAAGTAGATAAATTTAGATACATAAACAGTCCATATCCATTGAAGGAATGTAAGAAAGTCAGGTGAGCAAAAATAAAACATCTTATAAGCCCATGCCTTAATGGGTGTCATTATTTACATTCTGGTATATGTTCTTTAAAACATTTCTCTGCATACTTCAGTTACATACTTAATATAATTTGATATGTTCATCTTTGGAATACTTTGCAAATACAGTTTTAGAAAATTTTCAGTAAATACATGATTGTATATGAGACATTCTTTTAAAAAAAAGTTTATATCTCTAAATGAGTATGTATTTTTAATCAACATAGTGTCATAGCTACCCGAAATCCTCTTGAGAAAGAGAAGGAGTAGAATGGACACCTTGGGAGGTTATGGACGTACGTTTACAATGCCACCATTGTTTCAGGCGCTTTTGGAATTTTATATTCTCTTTGAATATCGTAAGTGATGGCAAATCTTTATGCTTTGAACTTTGATATGAATTTTTTTAAATGGTTAAAGGTAATTTAAGCCCTGAGAATAAGATGGATAGAAAATTTGAGTACTGACACTTGGTATAAAACCAGTCATCTGGGCACTTGCAGTGAGAAATTACAAAACTCCTTTAATCAACTGTAACATTGGTTTTCCAGGGAGACTGCTTTAAAAAGAATCAAATTTAAATCTTTAAGTTCTGATTTATTTGAAAATTTAGACTTGTATCTTTTCATTCAGAAACATTTCCTAGCGTGCTTTGCTTGTGATTGACTAGTTATCACTTACTATCAAGAAAGAGAAGCTCTAGACCTGGTTTTCCTTACCGTGAAAGTGATACTCATCTGAACCGTTGTTTCCTCTTTTAGAAATGAGATATTGACCAGGCATGGTGGCACATTCCTGAAATCCCATCTACTTGCGAGGCTGAATTGGGAGGATTGCTTTAGCACAAGTTTGGGGCCAGCCTGGGCCACATAGTGAGACACTTTCTTCCTCACTTTCTTTTTCATTTAATATTTATAGCAAATATAATATGTTTTTTTTAAATTTCTAATAATAAAAAGCTAGGGTAGTTTAAAAAAGCAAAGGGGAAAGAGCAAGCATTTTAAAGGGAAAGAAAGCCCAAGTCTTTACTTTGCTGCTACCCTGATTCCTGAGGTAGGCCTGGCTGGACACTCCCTGCTTCTGAGAGCAACAGAAACCTGGCACTGGCACCTGGCACCAGGTAGACAACAGAAGACCCAGGGACAGGGGTTGAAAAGGAGACTTAGAACTCTAGATATGTCCCAACTGTGTCTTTCCCAACCAGTTCTCTTCTTTATTTTGTCTGACCCCAAAATGTATCCCCCCACTCCACCTAAAGAAAAGGTGATAAGGCCAGTTGGTCCCTCCAGCAACACTATCCAGGACCAACACTGGTCTTGCCTAAAACAGCTCATTCATTGGCACTGGGATCTTTGACAAGCACATAGAAGATTCTGGGGTAGTGAAAGATATTTCCCTACAAGAAGTTATTTCCAACAGTCTTGGGCACTAGTGTGGGAGACCATGTCTCTTAAAAGAAAAAGCCAGGTGTGGTGGTACAGTCCTGTAATCCAAACACTAGGGAGGCTGAGGTAGGAGGATTGAGAGTTCGAGGCCAGCTTGGGGTACATACTGAGTTCCGGGCCCTCTTGGGCTGTATAGAGAGACCCTATCTCAAGAAAACAAAACAAGTAAATACAGAAAATAACAGTAAGCATTGTATATAAAATGGTTTTATGCTAGGCCCAAAAAAGGGCAAATTAAAACAATAAAGTACTTTATCACATTGTATATTGTAAACATTGTTTGCAAAGATTTTTATATAGCCAATCGAGGCAGTATATAGTGCTTGATAAAGATTTTATGTTCTTCGAAATTTTTTACTTCAAAAATTAAGAATTGCCTAAGAAATATTCAGAGATATGCACTAAGATTAATGTGCACATATATATACACACAGACACACATATAACTCAGTTTTATTAATACTTAAAATTGAAAGCAGCTCAAATGATCCACTGATAATAAATTACAGTATGTCTTGAGCAAAACGGTTAATAGATACTACTCATGTTTGAGCATCATTTTTAAGGAACACACAAGAAAATATTTAACCTGTGTACTACAGCTCTTAATTTT